TATGAATTATCCAAGCATTTCCTGTGTATCCCAGCCTCATCTGTGCCATGTGAACGGGTTTTTTCCAAGGCTGGGGAAATAGTCTGTAAAAGGGGAAACCACTTGTGTCTGAAAACTGGATATACTGTTATTTCTCAATAAAAACTCATAAACAGTTACATAAGCACACCCACTTTACCCACATACCAATGAACCCCAAAACAAACTTTGCCAAAGTATATACTATAATCTGTATTTGCACCAGTCCCATGTGAAAATGTCATCTGTCTGAATTTGTAGAGCACATCTCATGAATGTAGCAGCACCATTTAAATGTTTTCATAACACAAAATATAAGTGAGGAGCATATAGGGTTACACTCAGACGTGCCACATAAGAAACATGGTCTTCAACATGTGTCCATGTTTATTTTATATTTTATTGTGTCAGCTTGAAACCATCCAACCATGTAGTGTAGTGGAACAGGAATGTGCATGGCGAATCAAATCCCAAACAATCCATGAACCAATAAGTGACACGTCTTGACTGCACTTCAATTTCCTGACCACTAGATGTCCTACTCGAGCACTGTGTCATTGAAGCCTCGAGTAATGAACCATTTGTGTGAATACTGTGTCGAAGCTTCAACAATGCCTCATCGGCCATCACTGCTTGGAAGCTGGAGAGACATGAAGAGTTGCAGGGGCAGAAAGCAGTTGTAGTTTTAGGAGCATCAACAGGGAGAGCCAAAGTGTCATGGAAGTAATCCTCAACGTACTAGCATTGGAGGAGCCTCTGCCAGACTCTTAAATAGGAGGTTGGTGATGAAGCAACCAGTCTCAGCTGTGTAACTCAGCACAGCTGTGTGCCATGCCCAGGACAGAGACAACAAGGAGGAGAGGCAGGTGGCATAGAACAAGCCTGACCGGAGTGCAAAATACAAGGATTGTAAAGCTGAAAAAAGCTAACATTTACATTAGTGGTTTATCAGAAATTACATATTAAAAAATGGAAATTTCTATAATACAAAATAATATTGGAATTCTGCAAAATGTACAGACAGAATCATCAAATCTGTTTTGACCAGCAAAAAGTCCCCAACCTTCTTTAAATTAATGCATGAAACAAACCGTCTTTGTTATTATGCAATTTTGACTGATGCTCTTTTCATTTGTATTAAACGTTGATGGAAATGTACTGTCTCTGTTGCTCCTGATATTACTTAGAAAACCCTTTGTTATTATGCAATTTTGACTGATGACAATTTTGACTTGGGACAGTGACCTGTGTCCCAAGTACTTTGTACCTAAGCAATCGATGAAAACTGTCCACAGTGAGATGTGCAGGTAACACAGGGTAATCAGGACACAGGTCCTGCAAATAAACATAGCTGATTGGTATCATTTTTAAATAGAGTGAACTCCATAAAAATCTACTTGGAGGGAGGCAGAAATGTCAAAGATGGATATCTCAAATTGTGGGCATATAAAGCTTGTCAAAATATCTTTACAATTAATTCATTATATGTTGTTTGTAATTTGGGTGCACCGACTTCCTCAAGGCAAAGGCAGCATTTATTGTAGGGATATTGTAAGTTCTGTGTATGTTCAGTGGTGAAGCACAGTTTGAATCTGCACGACTACTGTAGTATACAACATGGGTCTGAATCTGTCCTTGGACAGTATACATTTTCTAGAATATGTTTGCTTTTCCCAGGGTGCACAGTATATTGACCCATGTCACTGCATAGAACAATATCCTCTCACTGGTCCCCTGCAGTCGCTTGGGTTCTATTGTTCAGTACAGTAATGAATGATGCTGAGGAGATTCTAAGTCAGCATTAATTACTGTTGTTTATACAGTGAAACCCTGCAGTACAAGTCCCACAAGCTGTAACAAGATAGTGTAGCGCAAATCCATTAACACATTGATTGTTGTTTTCACAGGTGGGCAGAAATCCGTTTCCCCCAAGTTTCAGCTAAAGAAATCCTACAGTTTAGAAGACGTCCTCTGCCAATGTCTCTAGAATATCGATAAAAATGCTGCAACTTTAGCAAGTTTAAGTAATAACCAATACTTGGAAAATACAAGGTATAAGTACATGATAGAGACCTTTGAGGAATGCAATATATTACAAATTCACACTTTAATGAGCACATATATTCTTTTTGTCTCTCTCCTCAGACTCCTCATGGGGAGGTTGTTCTAGAGGTGGAAAAGACCAAGTGAGATGAAGGGAGACCCGACATTATGCTGGACTTCTGCCCCCCGCCCCTCTTGACAGACCAGCCATGCTCATAACCAATGACAATCTCAGGGGCTTGTCCTGCTCATAGGAAGAATGATTGATCCTACAGCTGCCTAGACTGCAATGAGCAATCACACTCTCCCACCACACTGTACTGCATCCACTTACATTATGTACTGTAACAGCTTTGGATTTTCTTTTTCCTAATAGTACAGTGTATCAAAAAACAGCTTTCTGTTTCACAGATGTTTTGTTTTACTTCCAATTTTTTAAACATTATAATCAATAATCAATATTTTTTCCATTTCCAACAAACTGGATCCCTGCTATGCTAATGATCAGAAATTGCTTTTCAAGAACAATCAGGCTTATTCACCAGCACAAAATGAAAGCTATGGTTTTTATATTTTCACATTGCTGTGGGGTTTTATATAGCTTTAGATCAGTAGCTCATCTTTACCTCATCACCAGAAAACCTTGTGGAGAAGTCACACTGATATTTAGCTCTTTGAGGAGATGATGAATAGAGGGTAGTTTAATGAATAGAACAACAGACTGATCACAGGTAACAGAAATGTCAACCTATTAATCAAGAAAGGTTCAACTGCCTCCTGAGAAGAGCCATTAGGAAGAGTGTGCGGTCCCTAGCTGAGGTGTGTCACTTTTAAAGCAGCCTTCTTCCTTCCAAAAACCTTATAACACTAAGAGAAAAAAATATGAAAAGCACACAACTACCTGTCAGGCGAGGAGTGTTTGAACTTCTCTGTTAAGCTCTTTTCTTTCATTTTGTGCAGCTGAAACCTGGTCAGCATTATAATGGCTTCCTGGAAGCATTGTCTGATACTGTTCTGTTATTCACATATTTAAATGATTATGGCATCTTACCCATATGGTGGCTTTTCATGTTACCTTTCTATGTGACTGTTTGGAACAGCTATAAACACTTTGCCTTCTCACATGGTTGGATGACATGTCATAAGAACTTAAAGTAGGCTAAGTAGCATTAGCAACATACAATCAGAAACAGCTCATCAACACAGCCACTTAAATAGTTTCTTTTTTGTTAGGGGAAAACACTTTATAGATACATTTAATTAATTAAAGGCTAAACATGTAACTAGTTACTGTAATTAAATTAGAAAATAAATGTTAATATAATCAGTTACAGTTACAGAGAAAAAGTATGTAATTAAATTACAGTTATTAATCAAAATGTTGGTGATTACAAAGGGGTTACATCTGAATATATTCTTCTTTATAAAATGTTTATACTGTATGTATATATATCACATTCATTCTGTTGCATCTTTTTGCCTTCTTTTGGCATATTTCCAGATAATGTGGATCAGCAAAGCCGTTGAAACAAATAACACCATCAAGGGTAGGATGGCTAACAAGGAGATGTCTCTGCTTTTACATAGGCTCCATTCATTTGGCAACATGTTTCAACAGTAATATGTTGAAAACGTTTGACAGTAAATTTGTAAGACTTTTTAGCTTTATTGCCCAGTTTAATACTTTTTTTTGGAAAAAGAAACCACACTTTGTGGTTACTTTTCTAAAAAGTAACCACAAAGTAATTAAAAGTAATGAGCTACATTACTTTGATAAAGTAATTTAAATAGTTATATTACTTTTAACCTTTTTAACAGGTTAACTAGTAATCTGTAACCTATCTTCCCAACAGTGTTAATAGGTGATGTAGCCTGCTGGATAAGGCAACACTAATGTCAGTCCAGACCATATAAATATATACAGTATGTACTGTAAGTCCAGGGTGGACCCTGCCTCTCACCCTATGTCAGCTGGGCTTGCATTTTCTGACAAAATGAAAAAATACAGGTTAACAACAGCAGCTATACTAACATTTAAAATGTGTGATGACAGAGAAGGTCCTGATTGTCTATAGACAATTGCTGCTAAAGGCAAAGTAAAGAGATGAAAACTCTAAATGGCAACATTTATTGTTTTTAGCATGGATTTGAAGTGAAAATTAAGAAGTCTACACAGACTACTGGTTACTAAAATTTCGTTGTATGTGTTACAATGACAATAAAGGATTATCCTATCTTATCTTATCTTATCATATCTAATATGGGATTCATTTACTTTTCCTGTATATGGGCCAGTGACTTCTGGAGTATCAGTTAATTTTTCTAAGCATGTGATGGTTACTGTAAGCATTAAGATATGTAATGTAGTACATTACGAAGCTAGATACCTACCTACTGTAGTTGAACCTAAGTCACTTCCTCTGATTTTCCCTGGCCAGGCTGTAAAGCTGCATGGTCAGCACCCCATTACCAGACCAGGTCACCATAGTGTGCTGAGTGACTTTTGTTGCATCAGTGGAGATAGTTCAAGCAGGGATTTCTTAACACAGGCCAGAAAGGAGGGGCTGAACTTTGTTAATTTTTGACCCAAATGTCAGCTGTGTCAGCTATGTCGCCTGTACATAATGGGGAAGTTTCTGGCAAACTGTCTGCACCAAAGAGAACATCACAGGTAAGCACAGCACCTTTCTTTTCTTTCTTTAAATCTTAGAATTTACTTTTACTGGGGCAAAAATGTATTTTTGATGTGAAGCTTTTAAGACATGGTGACAAAATATGTAACAAACTATGTAACCTATAATAATTTGTAAGTGTAAAGTGGATTAAAGGCAATCATATCATCATTTGTCCTATTTAATCATTAAATACAACTATGACCTACTGTGAACAAACCAACTCACTTCCTTTGATTTTCCCTGGCCAGGCTGTAAAGATGCGTGGTGTCTTTGCTAGTTGTGCACTCGCAGCACTGCTGCTGGCTGTAGCCTGGGCAGACCACAACCATCACGGACACAACCATGACTCTGAGCATAGCCATGAGGATGGGGTGGGCTGCCAGCAGCTGGCCTCTCCCAATGCTGACTTCGCCTTTGCCCTCTACAAAAGTCTGAAGGCCAAGACTGCTGCTGGAAAGAACATCTTCTACTCACCGCTGGGCATCTCCACCGCCCTGTCTATGCTGTCTGCAGGAGCCTGTGATAAAACTCACAGCCAGCTGTTCTCCGGCTTGGGCTACAGCACTTTAAACCAGACTCAGGTCAATGAAGGGTACAAACATCTTTTCCACATGCTGGGCCACAGCCAGGAAAATCAGCGGCTAGATGTTGGCAGCGGTGTTGCTGTTCATTCTGACTTCAGTCCTCTTGAGAAGTTCCTGAAAGATATCAGCCATTACTACTCTGGCGAGCTCTTTAAGGTCGACTTTTCCAAACCCGACAAGGCTGCAGCTGAGATCAACCAGTTCATTGCCAATAAAACACAGGACAAGATAAAAGATATGGTGCAGGATTTGGACCCCACAGTGGCCATGATACTGATCAACTATGTCTACTTCAGAGGTAGGGCACACAGAGACATTCTTAAAGAGAACAGACCATGCATGAAGATAGCCAGTTGCTTTGATGTACACATAGAGATGCTGCATTTGTACAAGTTCAGATGCACATTTCCTTTTGTTGTTTAAGCAGTTTAAATTGTTTAATGGCAGAGCATGCCATATAAATGTGAAATAAACCAGCTGGAAAGATACAGTCGCAAGAAAATGGCACTGTTTGCAGTTTCCTGGTTTTCTGCATAAATTGGTCATGAAATGTGATCTGATCTTCACCAAAGTCACAAATATCAACAAACACAATATTTCTAAGCTGATAAAACATAGTCATGACCAATTTATGCAGAAAACCAGGAAATTGCAAACAGTGCCATTACTTTTTGTTATGTCTGTATTTTCATCATGCATATTGCAAA